AAAGAGCACGTATAGTGTTCCTGAATTGTATGGCTGTGCTTTATTGGGAAAGCTTATGTCTAATTTAAAACCCATAGGCTACAGTGATCTTCCTTTTTGAGGTCATGACTGAGAGCAGCTGGAGAGAAGAGCACACCTGATGAGTGGGGTCTCCCTTGGACATCGGCAGGAATGATGGGACGGGCACTGCACATCAGCCCCCCTGACTTAGATATACTTCCTCAAGGACCTCTAGCCGGAAGCCCCTGGCACATCCCTCTACCCTTTCAAGTGCTGCATACAACACGGAGTTGTATTATGTGTCTTCATTTCGTAAAGAGAGCTTTTCACCTCCAGTAGTTTACAACTTAACTTAAAACAAATCAAACTTAATACTCCATTGTAAGGACCACAAGCTGCCCCCTTCATTATCCCATTAATGAAAAAGGAAGTGGCTTATTAGAAAATGCTGCTTTAGGCTCCGGGGTGATGTTAGGGAGGTAGAATCTATGACTTAAGTGTTTACTTAGCATTTTCAAGTCATGTAACACACCCATGGAGAGTCCACACTCTCCCCACGATGAGGCAGACTTTCACTGAGCGGTTCTGGGGGTTCTGGTTTCTGAATGCATGTGGTTCCTAAACCACCACTTTAGCATAGCCTGGTGTTTCCAGGTAGGCTCTGTCCAGCGCAACTCTGAGGAAGAGAGAGGGAGGGAGCCCGGTGTGTTCAGTCAGGTTACCCAGGCCTACAGCCCTTGACAAAGTGCATTGGCCTCATCCCTTTCACTAAGGCTAATCCAAACAAAGATCAAAGAGACCAAAGAAATGATTTCCATGCCCGCTCACAGCAAAGGAAATCCAACAAGGTTTCATTTAAATTTTACCCAAATGGAAGCAGTTGGGCATACTCAGCACTTATGCTATTTAGTGTGCTAGTAAAACGCATAGCCTTGTTCTGGTGGGTAGCTCAGTTGGTTAGAGTATCTTCCCAATATGCCAAGGCTGCTGCAGGTTTGATCTGTGGCCAGGGCATATATAAGAAGCAGCCAATGAATGCATACAAAAGTAGAACTACATATTGCTGTCTCTCTCTCTCTCTCTCTCTCTCTCTCTCTCTCATCAATAAATAAAATTTAAAAAACCATCCTTGGTCTTTCATGTAACTTTTAGTGCTATGCTCAGTTTAAGATAGTGCCTATTTAATAAAACACTGGTGTTTTCCTGACAAGAGACACTAGATAAAAATAAAAAGAGAAACACATACACCCCAAATCCAAATGTTTGTGGAAAACTTGTTTTATACTTTTTTGAAAGTTTGGGGTAATTTTTGCAATAAGAAGGTATTACTTTTATAATCAGAACGAGGATATAACTACTTAAAAACAAATAAGGAAATTATCAACAAAAGTACACCACTGCCTTAAAGACAGTGGTTGGCAAACCACAGCTCGCGAGTCACATGCGGCTCTTTGGCCCCTTGAGTGTGGCTCTTCCACAAAATACCATGGCCTGGGCGAGTCTATTTTGAAGAAGTGGCGTAAGAAGAAATTTAAGTTTTGAAAATTGGGCTCTCAAAAGAAATGTCAATCGTTGTACTGTTGATATTTGGCTCTGTTGACTAAAGAGTTTGCCGACCTGAGCCTTAAGAGAAGAAAATAGAGTGTTTTATTTGGCGCATGGTTTATCAGAGAGAAGTAAGAGAATAGGAGAGGAAATTGGCAAGGAAAGATGTCTGCCTACCCATACCAGGGGTGTAAACATCTTTAACATTTATCTACAACAGAGTAAGGGACTGAGAATCAGAACACAGACTCAGAATCCCCTTGAAGTACACATCCCACACAGAAGCATGTTACATGGGCTGCCAGAATGTCCCCACAAACAAGGCCCTCTCTAATGAGATCCTCTCAGGGCTTCAGCTGCCTATTCCAGGCACAGGACACTGGAAACAGACTAAGGTGTATATCCAATTCCACGTTCTAATAGACGACAAGGAAGACGCCAGTCTCCATGAGTAGGAATAAACTTGCTCTGATTCCCTTATGTGCTCTAGCTCAGCCCCTCAGCGGACTAGACTCTGCCCTCTCCATCCTGAGATGACAGGCTGGGGTGAAGGCTCTGCCTGGGGTCGTAGGGCAGGAAGAGGTAAGTGACCCACAGAGAGGTCACCGTATGACACCAATCTCCTGAGTTCACTGCCCTCACCAAATGAAAGAAACAGTCAGAAAAAACAAACATTAGCTCTGCTTTTAGCTGGAAAACACCACCGATGACTGAATTTCAGGAAGGACTGTCCATGTTGTGCCTATGGGTTGGATCAACCAACACTATCAAAAGCCTACGGGCACTCACTAGTCCTAGTTCTAATACATGCTAAGTTATTGGTGCTTGTCCGTTTCTACTAAAGCAGAAAGCAAGGAGGCAACTACCTCATCGATGGGGACAGAGTTTGGTTCAAGTCAATTCTGTGAACATGTTTCGAGGCTTTGTGTTAGTTAGGGTTTGGAAGCAGAAGCATTCTCCTCATCCCAGTATTGAGACTAATTTTTCTTTGTCTTGTATTCCTTACACTGAGGACATGCATTTAAACTTGTAGCATAGTTTAGCTAATTTTGAACCTGTTTCTAGACTTGGTAAAAGTTAAGACTGGTTAGCTACACAAATTTAATGACCCCACACAATGTACTGTATTCCATACAGCCATGTATGTTGGCAAGGTTCCCCCAACCTTTTCTTCTTCTAGCTAATTCATTCAAATTTTATTACATCTCTGGTAAAGTTTTCCTTTAAATTTATATTTTTAATCTGGGGGGGTGGAGAATAAGACTCGATGCTGGGAGGTCACCTTCAAATTTATAACTTTGGCCTGCCTATCAAATAGTTTATCTCCATTGTTTTCTATTTATGATTTAATATTAATTGCTATGGTCTGAATGTCCCCCCAAAATCACATGTTGAAATCCCAGTGCCTGTGTGATGGTGTTAGGGTGTGGGGCCTTTGGGAGGCACTGGGGTAATGAGGGTGGAGCCCTGAGAATAGGATCAGTGTCCGTGGAGGAGAGGCTCACAGAGCTCCATCGCCCACTTCTTCTAGGTGTGGACATAGGGAGGAGTAGGCAGTCTGCTCTCCAGCTGGACCTGACCATGGTGATACCTAAATTTCTTTGGTTTATAAACCAGTAAATTTCTTTGGTTTACAAACCAGTCAATGGTATTTTGTAATAGCACCCTGAAAGAACATATAAAATCATATAACATATAAAATCAATGTGTTCATAAACTCCTGGAATATGACCAGCCTTCTCACTTTGATATTTCAGTACAAACTCATTTCCTACCCTATGGGGAGCAGAAGACAGTTACAGAGAACCAGAGATAAGACAGGAGGAAATGGCTGAAACTACCGGATGAACTCTATTACAATAGTTTTAACTCAAGCTTTTCTAGAGATGAGAATGTTGAGCTAAAAGAGGAAAGAAAAGGTTAGTCTCCACATAGGTAAAAGAGGTTTTTTTTGTTTTTTGTTTTTATCACCACAGACATCACACTTGAAAAAAAAAATTTGAATTATAGCCCATTTGAATTTCTCTGCCTCCTCCTGGTCCTCTCTATCTTTGGTGAAAGTACTAAGAAAAATAAAATGGTCAAGGCACGAGGCATGGGGGGAGAAATGAGGTCAATTTATAATGCTGATAGTTGAGTGTATCTTGCAAAGGTTCAATGCCCTTCAGTAATCATAGCCCAGCAAGTCATTGTACTTCCACATATATTTATTTATGAGGAAATACAGCTCAGAGAGGATCCAGGTCTTATCCAACTATGTCTATTAACAGATCAGTGTTTCTAGTCAAAGATCTCTAACAGGTAGCAATCATCTGGATATTCCTTACACTCACTGGTTATACACAAAGAACAAGGACAGTGTCTTCCGGGCCTGAAACACCACTCCAAAATGGACATAGACCAGCTTCAGTCAGGGCAAATGTTGAGTTAGTTAGCTCAGTGGTGGGCAAACTCATTAGTCAACAGAGCCAAATATCAACAGTACAACGATTGAAATTTATTTTGAGCCAAATTTTTTAAACTTAAACTTCTTCTAAAGCCACTTCTTCAAAATAGACTTGCCCAGGCTGTGGTATTTTGTGGAAGAGCCACATTCAGGGGGCCAAAGAGCCGCAAGTGGCTTACAAGCCGTGGATTGCCCACTGGGATAGCCTATATTTGCTTTAATTCCCTTACTATTTCCTTAAACACAATGGAGTTAATTGTGTTCAATAATCCTGAGAGCAGGGAATTTTCTAATGTAAATTGGGGGTGCTAGGGTGGCTTCATTTGGGAGGCGTGGCTAGAATGAGTCTGCTCCATGTGACTGTCATTCTCTCCCTGTAGGTTAGTAGGGAATGTCCTCCTCATAAAGACAGCAGGACACAAGAAGGGAAATGGAACGACATAAGGCTGGTGAGGGGTCAGGCTCTACTGTTACAGTCATGTCTGCCTCGCTCTGTTGGTCAAAGGGCATCATAGAATCGAACCACAAATCAGAGGTTGAGAAAACCCCCTCTGCTCCTAAGAGTCATGGCAAGGGTGTGGATGCAGGGAGAGGTGGGCATTTGAGGCCCCAATTACAGCCTCCCACAAAAAGAAGGAAATGCTAATACATATTTTAAATATATAGAAAAGGACAGAGAGCATTATAACGGGTATCCACCTCCAATGCTTAACAAATTACTAATTTTATATTTGGTTTTGATAGTTTTGTTTTCTATACATTATTTTAGAGTTTAAGCACTGTGCATCCCTGCACAACTCTGTTTCCCCCCCTGCTCCGAGGTAACTATTATCCTAAAGTTAGTCTGGGCATATTTTATATTTTTGCTGTATCTGCTGTTATTCATGAAGCGACAGCCCTGAGGACAGTCACACTTCACCTGGTTTGGTCACTTTCAGTTAATAATTAGTCAGAATATCCAATAAAATTAGCTGCTTCTCCAACTCAGAAGCGTTTATATAGATCCTACAACCGAACCAAATAGCTAGCCAGGCAATATTAGAATTGGACTTGTTCTATTCTCATATTTTTTGTCTTGTGTTAAAGAAATGAAAAATTCAGAATTCTAAGGTTAAATATCTAGAAAATATTTACTCAGACTTGAATATTCTTCAAAGAAAGTGTGGAGCCATCTGAGGGAGAAAGATCACAGGAAAATAAAAGCCATGTTTTCTTCAGGACTCCTCCTTTTGGCTGCTTTGATCTCACCTGGTAAGTCAGACACAATTTTAGAATCTCAGCTAACTTGTAAAAACTTATTGCAAGAATAGATTTAAAAGTCAATAATAGCATAATCACAACAGAGACTTGTGTATCTGGATATTAAAAATGTAATAGGAAGAACAGGGGGTTCTCAGTGATGTCCACCGAATGCTCTGGTTCTTTAATGAGGGAAACAAAAATGGAATGGGGGGACTTGAAGAAGCATCTTTCAGTTGTGGTCTAGAACTCAATTGGAACGTAATTAGAAGATAAAAAGTTTGTGTAAGAATATGACTTAGAAAATTCCCGATGCAGAGACTGGTGGGATTAGGATAAGAGGAACACTCTCTTAATAGTCACACCCTAAGAGGAAAATGAAAAAAATTAACCAATTGTCTAATCTCTGCCTCAGTTCCCAAGGATAAGTAAGTATTAGTTGCCACAGTGATGGCATTATATTTTGATCAAGGTGTTGACTTGAAGAGTGGCTCCAAGGTATGAGACTTTTGAAAGAATATTAAAGAATATGCCTAGTGGCCATATTCTGTACCTTCTCTTCATAGCACATGTATTATTAATAAATGGTAAAATCTTGTTAAATAAAATCAGTGATCAAATTAACAGGTTCTTGGTTTCGCTTCTGTTTTGGTTAGTTTGCTTTAAAATGATAGATTAAGTTTGTTAACTTCATCTTGCGATGAATGTTAACATTGAAAATCCTGAAATACAATTCAATTGAACATTTATCAAGTGCTTACTAAATTAAAGAGAAGATGCACTTACAAAGTTTGCACAAAATACACAGAGAGCTAGCCCCCTCCTCCATGTGTTACTGTTTCATAATTTTTTATATAATTGTTTCTACATTCTTCCCTATCTTCTCTTCTCACTCCACTCAATTGATTTGACACGTTCATATTTTTAAGAGTCTCCCTCTTCCATGTTTGCAAATGTGGAAGAGATTTATTTAGTAATAAACAAACTTTGCTAGTTCAGAGTTTGTTTCTCTAATTCAGCAGTCGCCAACTGGTGGTCTGTGGACCACTGGTTGTCCATGAGGTCTGAAAGGTTGGCGACCGCTACTAATTCAAATATTTTCTTGGATTTGATTATTGGGACTAATAATAAGGAAACATTTCAAATTTACTTAAGAATTTCTGGAGTTATTTCTTTAAAAAAAAATCAACCTGTTTGATTATTTTCTTTAACCCCAGGCCAAACAATGAACAAAGAAAATTTGAAAAGCACACTTTATGCCAATTACTAGTGGATCATCTGAAACGATAATGATGGAGGTTAATGCCTATCAACAGACACACTTACAAATACTCTATATGTCATAAAACGGACTTTTGTGGCCAGAGAAAACGCCAATTTTACATCTGAAACAGGAATTAAAGGAAGACCTTACTTTAAACTATAGAATATTAGGGACAAATTATAGCAAAAATGAGATTTTTAGAATCCACTGAAAGACTTACAAGGCAAATGGAGGTTGGAAATATGTGAGATCAGGAACTCTGCCCCTCGTGTTTCTCCTTTTCAGTGCTGGCGGGGCAGTGGGCTAATCTATGTGCTGGCAGGTCTTCCAATGGGATCAGAACGCGTGACGGCTATGGCCAGGGCCATTACGGTGCTTCGAGGTATGTTTACCATATGCTTTCTGGGCTCTTCACCTCCTTGCTCAGTGTGCTTGCCTTAGGTTTCCTCAAGTGCTCATGATCATTTCCTCTGACAACAGGAAAACTTGGAGATGAAACCAGTTACATTACTGTCTTTGGAGCAACTTCCAAGAACCCTGCTTCAAGTATGGGCTCTGAATTGGGAACAGAGTGTGGAATAAGGAAAAGAGGAAGGGGAGCAAACAGTGTTTTCTCAGGGTGACTTATTTCACCTGGTTTTTCCATGGTGAAAACCAAGCATCATTATCCCATTTTATAGATGAGGAACCTGAACAGAGGCACCAAAGGCTAGGATTCAGGCCTTAGGATCCTCTTTCCATCAAACCACAGTGTTACTAACCCAGCCTCTGGGAGCTGAACACTGGAGGTGGCCTTAAGCAGGCAATTTCAGACACTGAGGAACAGACTTGTGAATTTTCAGTAACGTACAGTATCACCTTGGGAGTACCACTCTCTGATGAAATAGCTGGGTGTTCAATTGTATTATTGACTTCCATTCCCATTATAGTGGAACTCTCACTTATACAGATAACTAGAGGCCCAGTGAACCACATTCATGCACTTGGGGGCAGTCCCTCAGCCTGACCTGTGCCCTCTCAGGCCAGAACCCATTGGGGGATGTCCACCTGCTGGCTTAGGCCCACTCCCCCTATAAGCCAGCAGGCAGACATCCCTCTTGCAATCTGGGGCTCTTGCAGTCCGGGACCCCTCATTCCTTACCACCTGCCTTCGCTGCTCCACTCACCAGCCATGAGCCCTGGTTTTGGCTGAGTGGCGCTCCCCCTGTGGGAGCACACTGACTACTAGGGGGCAGCTCCTGCATTGAACATCTGCCCCCTTGAGGTCAGTGCACATCATAGTGACCAGTCCTTCCATTGTTCAGTCGATTTGCATATTAGGGTTTTATTATATAGGACACTTACAAAGTAACCTCAAGCACCTGGAGACATACCTAAGATATGGGAAATATGGAAACATGACCTCTCAATTGCCAAAATTAAGACTCAGTTAGTTCCTATCCTAAAGTTTTTGCACTTGACTTACATAATAACTTAAGGGCTCTTCACTTGGAACCTGCTCAGTGTTGCTTTCATCATCTAACAATCCTGGTGCGTCTGAGTTTCCAGGCAGGAGACCATTAGAAAGGAGAAGAGGCTGGCAAGAGCAGGCATACTGACAACAGTGAGGACTGTTAGTGACCACCTCAAGAAATCTCATAATCCGGAAACATTCTGTGTTTGTGCTACACGAACTTTAATAAAGACAGGCAGCATCACTCACTATATTAAAATATCATATACAGTAAATGATGTTGGTAATAACTTCTGGATCGCTGAGGGAAAAACACGGCTAGGGTAACATAAGATTCTTTTATGATAGATGCCCATAAAAAGACAACTCTTTCCTAAGTGGTCTATATTAAAATGTACTCGAATAGCTTGCTTCATTTCCCCCAAATGCCATATAACAACAATAGCTAATATTTTTAAAGGCTTCCCAAGTGCCAAATACTATCTTAAATGCTTTAATCTTTACAACATGGTTATTACCACCTTCAGGGAAGAAGGTTAAAATTGGGCAAAACAGAATGAAGAAAACTGGGACATCCTAATATGCTCTAGCAGCTTCAATTGTTGAAACCCTGGTCTGGGAACAGAGAGCTAGCACCACACTCCTAGGCAATAAAGCTCCCAGGGCAGTTCCTGAGTCTCTTCTTTCTTATCTGAATCCTAGAAATGGTAGGCCGCACCAGGGAGTAGACGTCTTGTGCTCTGATGGATCTACTGTGTATGCACCTTTCAGTGGAAGGATTGTGCGCCAGGCGAAACCTTATAGAAAAAATAATGCCATCAATGATGGTGTTCAGATATCTGGAGGAGGTAAGAGGTGGTGGATATGACTGGGACACACATGGAGATGTTGGATATAATATGAATGCATATTCCACAGTTGAAATTTCATACTTCCTTCAAGATGATAAAACCCATAACATAAAGGACCTATTGTAGCAAGCTAAAACAGCAAATGCATTTCCAAAGACATTACACTGGTTTCCCGGAGCCATCTGCTTTTATGCACACACTCCGTTTACTTCTCTACCTGACTGAGGGCTTTCTCCCTGTGGCCCATGTGGTTTTGCTTAACAATCTATAAACAAAACCACTTTCAGCAATACTAAGTAGCATGAATAGATACTTTCATTTACCAAAATTCCACAATTGGAAAACACTGGCCTTCCTACAAGAGTTGACTGTGAAGCATTTACAAAGCCCTCTGTATTCCAGGCAAAGCCGGGCCTCCTGGTATTCCAGGGATTGAGATTATAACGTACACACAGAAAAGTGCACAAAGCCTAAGTGTACAGCCCCGTGAATTCTCATAAAACGAATGCACCTATGTAACCGGCATCCAGATCAAGACAAAGAACAGCAGCAGCAGCCCAGAGACCCTTTGTGCTACGTTTTTTCATTATCCCCAGCAAGGGCAATCGCTTTCCCTCCATATGTTAGTTTTGCCTGTTTTTGAAGATGATAGAAATAGAATTAAACAGCATGCAGTTTCTTTTATGGGGCTTCTTTCCATCCACATCATGTTTGGTAGGTTCATCCATATTTTGCACATCCTTTTAGTTCATTCTTAGTGCTTTATGTAGTATTCCATTACATGCATGTATCTTAATGTATTTAGTCATTCTTCTCTACATGGACATCTGGGCAGTATTCAGTGTTAGGGATTATGTTAATGCTGCTATGAACTTTCTTGCACAAGTCTTTTAAGGAACAAGAACGTGCATTTCTGCTGGCAGTGAGTCCAGCGGAAAAATTCCTTCGCCAAGTAAGAAGCACTTTCTGAGGGAGCCCATGTCCTTGCGGAACTGTACCAACTTTGTTCTTCTTTCAGGTTGTCTTGGCAATTCTTGGTCATTTGCATTTCCAAATTGTAAAATCAGTTCGCCAATTTCTACTAAAGCTTGTTGGGACTGATTGAATTTTCACTGATTATACAGGTTATATTGAGATGAACTTCTACCTTGAAAGTAATGAATCAGTCCAGTCAATGAAAATGTTATATCCTCCATGTTTTTAGGTCTTCTTGCATTGCGGTATTAGCAGTTGTTTTTCTGGTTCTCAGTGTGGAGGTCTTGAACATCTATATAATAAAAGCCTAAGCGACCAGCGAAAAGACCAGAACAACTGGTCGCTATGATGTGCACTGACCACCAAGGGGCAGACGCTCAACGCAGGAGTTTCCCCCTGGTGGTCAGTGCGCTACCACAGGAGGAGTGCTGCTCAGCTAGAAGCTGGGTTCATGGCTAGCGCGTGCAGCAGCAGTGGCGGTGGCCTCCCCTACCTCTGCAGCAGCACTAAGGAGCAACGAGCCGAGCAATAAGGGGCAGCAAGCAGGCAGACAGTAAGCAACAAGGGGTCCCAGACTGCAAGAGGATGCAGGCCGGGCTGGGGGGACACCTTCCCTCCCCTGAGTGCATGGATTTTGTGCACCGGGCCTCTAATATTCATGTATACATAAGACACAACTTATTGATTTTTGTCTAGATCTTCCAAAGGAATATAATAAAAACCACATAAGTAATTTTAAATTTTCTAGGAGTCACATAAAGTAAAAATTAAGAGGTAAAATTAATATTTTACTTAACTCAGTATCTCCAGAATATTTTTATTTCAAAATGCAATTAATATACATATTATTAATATTTTACCTTCTTGGAGGTACTATCATCAAAATCCAGTACATACCTTGTACTTAGAGCACACCTAATTCAGATTACCTGCATTTCATGTGGCCAGTGGCTATCATGTTGTATGGCATAATTCTATAGCCTTACTGATGTTTTCTATTCACTTGACTTGTTTTCAATTATATAAATGTGCTGAAGTCTTCTATTACTAGTGGTTCCCCACTTATTTCTCCTTGCATCTCCTGATGTCTGTTTTATACAGATGGTTTCTGTGTTATTTAGCACATGGTCATTATCACTATTGCATCTTCAATGGACTTGGCAATATAAATTGTCCTCCTCTGTCTTGTTTCAATGCTTTTGGCCTGAAGTCCACTCTCTCATAACATGATCATAACCTTGCTTTTCTTTTTGCTTCCATTTCCTGGCAAATGTTTTCCATTCCTTAAATTTTAGCCTTTTACAATTATTGTTTTTTATACAGCATAGAGTAGGGTTTTCTTTTCCAAGTCAATAGAAAATTCTATTTAATAGCTGAGTTAACATTTATAGATATAAAATTGTAATGAAACGTTATAATTACGGTATTATATTAATTCGATTTCTCTATTTGGTGGGCCTTTAAAAAAAATTTTTCCTTTGGTATTTAGGAAGATTTGTATTCTTGTGCCAGCTCTTTCCATTTTTCCTTGTCTTTAAAGTCTAATAGTTTAATTAGTATATGCCTTAGAATTGGCATTATTCCAGGTCAATATTCTCAGCTATCGTGTTTTTCTGCTATTGTTTAATGCTTTTATTAAATTTAAATTTATTCTTCCTTGGGCATCTTGCAATTTTTGTTTTTATTTCTGATATGATTTTTGTCATTTCCTTTTACTCCCCCATTGAGTTCAATCAACTCCCTTTGTGTGTGTGTGTATGTGTACGTGTGTGTGTATGTACGTGTGTATATGTGTGTGTGTGTGTGTTATTTCTGTTCTTTTTTTTTTTTAAATTTCTCATTCTAGGCTATTAAAACCCAGATAATGAATAATTTTACTTCTTTTTTTTCTTTTAGGTTTCTGTGTTAAAATGTTCTACATTAAGCCAATTAGATATAGCGGTAATATCAACAAGGGAGACGAACTGGGAATTCTGTTGCCCATGCAGAGAGTTTATCCTGGCATACAATCCCACCTACACATTGAAAACTGTGACAAGAGTAACCCCACCAAGTACCTATAAATGGAAGACAGATGACTAGACCATCAAGATAGAAAGGCATCTTCCTAAAACCTGAATGAATATCCTGCTTTCCAAGAAAAATTTATGTTCAAATAGAAACATGATAAGTGCAAGGAAGAAAACCATATTTTGATTTCAACTCACTGCCACTTTCATGTTTTTTTAATGTCAACTAATTTCTCATGGCTCTCCAAACTTTTGGTAACCTATACCTGGGGTGGTGGCTTTTTCTCTCTTACTATTTCTTAGTCCTAAATACGTAGAATAAATAAATATGTATATTCAAGTTAGTCCAGACTGCATTTTTAATGATTCTAAAACTAGACTTTTGCTTAGAAAAAAAAAGCTTTAATCTGTATTAATGATAAAAGAATAGAGGTTTGTACAAGGCTGAACACACATACATACTGAATGGGTATTAACTGAATAAACTGGAGGCTTCTTTTGAGTTAAGGTTGTGGAAAATTTCAGCAATATCCTTAGTTCTGTCAAACTGGTTGGGGCGTGAGCTGTTTGCATGAATAGAACAGAATTTACTGGTTTTTATATTTCCACATTCTATATACGTGGTAGATATTCTAAGTAATGAATAATGGCAGTCTAAGAAAATATGTAATACTAGAGGCCTGGTGCATTAAATTCATGCATGGGTGTGTGTGTGTGGGGGTCCCCTCAGCCCAGCCTGTACACTCTCCACCACTAGTTCCTAACTGCTCACTTGCCTGCCTGGCTGAATGCCCCTAACTCTCCCTTTCCCCCCCTTATTGGCCTGGTCATGCCCAACTGCACCCCCCTACTGGCCTGGTTGCCCCCAACTGCCACTGCTGCTGGTCTGGCCACTCCTTACTGCACCCCTACTGTCCTGGTCACCCCATACAGCTTGCTGTTCAGTTGTCTGGTAGCCCCTCCCTAACTCCCCTGCCGGCCTGGTAGCCCCCCACAGCCTGTTTGGTCGTCCCTTCAATTGCAATAGTCACTTAGGCTTCTATATATGTAGATTCTAGATTTCAATATGACTGCCTTATAAGGTGTACTAGAGAGAGAAAGAGGTATATCCTAACCTAAAGTGTCTCAGGGAACCAAGCCAGTCAGCCTCACCCAGCCACATACATCCGATAGCTAGTTATTTCTACACATCATTGTATACCTATATTATTATTTCCTAGTTATATTGGCAACAGGTGCCAACATGAAATAACCATACAAATGTTCAAAGGACCAGAAATAATTATGGCTCCCTAGATTTTAGTAAGTCAGTAAGAAGTGAATAAGTTGAATTCATCATTCTGGAAATATCCTTCATGAATTTTTGCTTAAACCTTTTTGGAGTGTAGAAAACTCCAGCAGAATGACTCCATTCTTAGTGTAGATATGTTTGAGAAAAATGAAATTAATTGAACTGACTTTACTACTGGTGAGAAGTGGCTGCAATTGTATACTAAGACATAGGGATAAGAACGTTCATGACATCACTATTTATCAGAGCAAAACCTGGAACAACTCAAGTGCCCGTCCACAGTGAGATAGACAAATAAATTGTGGTTATAGAATGGAATATTACATAGCACTCATAATAAATAACCCTCAACTAACGACAAAATGGATGAATCACAGTAATATTTAGGAAAATCTCGATATAACTGGCCATTTCGGGCAAGGGACTGTCCATTATATAATCAAGTAGGTTTGCTGAATGCATATGCCAAAAAAGTGACAAATTAGTTTTCCTGTCTTATGTAGACACATTTGTGTAATTAAAATTAAGTATGCATGAAAAGTTTAATTTCAAAGAAAAGTTTTCTATATGTAGTACAGTAATTTTAAATTTATGCTGAGTAGGTTTAGTAAATGCATGCATTCACCAGTCAGCACGAGTAAACAAATGCACACGGCTGGGGCGTGGCTTAGCACACGTCAGAACATCAGTTGGCACACGTTAAAACTGCTGTGTAAAGTTATGCCATGCCACAACAGAACTAATTACCACTCACGATGATTATGTGCTTATCATTCACTGAATATTGTTTTTGAGCGGTGACTGTTGGATTTAAATACATAAACTATCATTGGAGATATGTAATATTTATTTATGTTGGCAAAATTACTAGGTTTCCCCCCCCCCCCCAAGATATGGCCTATTTGTTAAAATTTATTAAAAATAAGCGACTTAATAACAAAAACCAATCGTTAGTTTAATTCCTAGCAATAATGGTTAAAAGCATTTTAAGATTAACAGAGTGTTAATTTTCATATGTATGATAAACGGGCCAGAGATTTTGTTCATTAAATCTGAAGTTTGTTAAACTGAGGTCTGAAAAATCGAGGGTTTACTATAATATCGAGTGTAAAAAAAAAAATCCAAAAGATCAAATATAGCATGAATATTCTTTTTATAAAGTCACAACAATTAAAACTATAACATAATTTTTAGGAACACAGAATTATGTGATTAAGATATATATATATATAGAATAAATCAAATAATGAACACTAGTTACTTAAAGACTTGATAGGACAGGAAAACTCTGGCAAATTTAAGTTACTATCAGTGCTGTAGTTCTACAGCTTGGGAGGTGATTTCATGAGTATTTATTATTATGAATTATATGTTATAGATATAATAGGACTTGCAGAGGGGTGGCCAGGAAAAAGTATTAATGATGGTTCTCAGTTTAGAGTCTACACAAGGCATATCTAGTTAGATACTATTCTCTACTGTGTTATACAAGGCTAGCAAATTAAGAATGTAAAAATAATAATAATAATAAAAACATGAAAACTATAACCAGCACTGCCTGGTTTGATAACCTACCTTATTTATCTCCATAGTGCCAAATAACTTTAGATTGTCCCTAAAAATTACATTTTTTCCTCAAGGACAAAAACTATGCTTCCATTGAGAACATAAAACAAGAACAAAGCACAGACTTTAAAGGCAATCTTTAAAGAGCTCTAAAATGTTTAAATAATGAAATATATAGCCATCTAAATACTCAACCTTCTGAAATGATTCTTTTAAAAATCAGACTTGTTACCTGGATGGAGAGCTTCCCCAAGACAGAGCAAGAACTGTGCCTTCTGCCTAGCATTCCACAAGCACGCTCATATCTGTTGAATGGAAATGCAGACTTTAGACTAAGGACTTCTTTCTTAAGAAGAACAAGAATACAGCGCCCTCTGGTGTATTATATCAGAGTTTTGTTTTCTTTTTTACTAGTAATTTCTGTTTTAGGTTGGAGTGTCAAAATGTTCAGCGTAAAGTATTATAAAGGTTCATATGACAGAGAAGTAATAGTACTGAGTAACTTACTTTTCCTTAGTGAAAGTGATTATAATATTTAAAAACTGTGGTGTTGGGTATTAAGTTTATTGACTATAATAATGTGAACAAAATCAATTTTTATTTTGAAAATGCTTTTAAGTTTTTTTGCAGAAAGGTAATTTATTGGAAATATAAGATACATGGTCAATTTAAAGGGAGGGCAAGACCTATAGAGGGAAGAATTCTTATGTCCTGTGACACTTGTCACATTTAGTAGCATATCAAGAACAATAAATATAATTTTAAAATCTCCCTAAATCTCCCTATTGCTAAATACTAGGGATACAAATGAGCCCATGAAGATTTATAAAGAAGGATAAACAAAAATTTAAGAATCTTCTTTTTGTGACTCTTCAGTGCAACCTATGATAGAATCTTTTCTCCCATTCTCTCCATTTACACTTTGCTATAAAATTATCCTAACTTTTCCAGAACCCTTTAGCAAACTCAAAAACACGAATTTAACATGAACAAGTTGCTTACAGAACTAACATACTTTTAAAAGCCTAAAGCTTAAACCCATCTAATATCAAACTTTTTCATTTATCTAGGATCCTCTAATCTTAGGCTTATAGTACTTTTCATGGACTTCCATGGTAAATGGAGACATTTTCATTAAATAAAGCATCAAGAATACTCCATATTTCCTCATCTTGTTTTTGCTCTTCAATTTATCAACCCAATAAGACCACGCAGGGTCATTTAATTGAGCAGATGAGTTTTACTCTGAGTTTTGCTCTGTCATTATAGTACTCAGTTCTCTAGACTCAACTACTGGGCCACTGAAGATCATATTTAGAGCAACAACTTTTCACTCGATGTAAAAGAGGGCATTTGTACTTATTATCTCTCTATGATGGTGAGTTATGAGGATAAACTTTCCCTCAACCCCCCTTTCCTTGGCTCCGTAGCTCAGGGGTTAGAGCACTGGTCTTGTAAAAAAAACCCTTTCCTCTAGTCCTTCTCTATTTGCTTCATTATGCTCTAGTACAAACACCACTGGCACTCTATCACCGTACCTTACCATTCAGAAATATATACTTTATATATTATTTTATTGATTACCAGAGAGAGAAGGAGAAAGAGACAGAGACAGAGAGAGACAGAGACAGACACAGAGAGAGAGACAGAGAGAGAGACAGAGAGAGATAGAGATAGAGAGAGAGAGAGAGAAGGATATCGACAAGAGGAACATCATCAATCGGCTGCCTTCTGCATGCCCTCTACTGGGGATCGAGTCCACAACCTGAGCATGTGCCCTGACTGGGAATCAAAACAGCAATCTCTTGGTTTCTGGGGCGACCCTCAACTGCTGAGCCACACCGGCCAGGCCATGGTATATATTTTTTAATTCCAGATTTATGTCTTCAGTATGTCCACCATTACAATGATCTCCAACCAGTTTGACGCCTCTCCTCTCAGGCCATTTCCTTTATGTTTGTTTGTCCTGCTATTCTAATCAGACTTAAATTTCCCTATTATTGCTGCTTCTGCACATTAAGACAGTGTTTCTCAAACTTCTCTCATGATGAGAATCACCTGGTGGAGTTGTTAAAATACAGATTGCTGAACATATGCTTAGCGCACTAGTTAAGTATACAATTTTACCTATATGTTCCCCAAAATTCTAGTTTAGCACTTCTTAGTTGGGAGTCAGGAATCTGTAGTTTAACAACTCCACCAGGTGATTCTCATCATGAGAGAAGTTTGGGAAACACTGGTCTAAAAGAATGCAGAAATCTTAAGCCATGGCTAACATAATTCTGCAATAATAATAACTATCTTTAACAAACTGATTTTATTTTTCAACCAGTAATATCAGCTCTAATAGCATTTATTTAGTGTGCACTAATATACAATACATTGTTTTGAGTAATTTGAACTCAAAAGAAAATGAGATGCCTGCTCTTACAGAACTCAGTGACAATGAATGTGGCCCAGTGGTTAGGATGTATGCATAAGCAGTCTCTAAATAAAGGAATGTAAAATGTGCTATTTCTTATCCCATTGTATTCTGATTTCCTAATATTTGAATTTTTTTTATAACAGAAGATTGTTGCAGAGTAGCTGGAAGCTCCATCCACTTGCTCCCAACCCCAGAGCAGATTGCAGCTAAACCGCAGAGAAATCAGTTCAAAAATCAGTTGAAGAGTCGCTGATCTAAAATATTGAGAGCAGAGAACACAGGAAAGACAGGAGAAGTTGCAGAGAGAGTGAGGCCCTTGTGCAATACCTCGATATTCCCACAAAGTACAGTTCTATGGGGGGAGGAGAGCAGCTCAGGGCAGGGACATTCAAGGTGCAGGACCCAAGGAAGACCCAGTCTCTGGAGGCCCCACCCGCTGGGCTACTTGGGGCTCTGCCCTGAAGAACTTCAGTCAAACTGCTGAGAGCCCAGCAGGGACAGTGACTTGGCTTGCACCAGAGAAACTCCCAGGAGGTGTGGGGCCAGCACATCAAGTGGCCAGCTTCAGACAACATTAGAGCAAAATCCAGCAAGCTCCACAATCAGCAGATACAAAGGGTGAACTGACATCTGTATAACAGTTGGCATGACATGGTGATATGATCGGGGTTGAGCCTCACAGTCAGCTAACCCAAGGGCTAAGCCCACCCAAAAACAGAAATCAAGACCTAATTACAACAGGAGGGCACACGTTACCCACACAAGAGACATTCCTAGAGTACCCAGATCAGAAGATCAAGGAGACTATACCACTAGGTCCCACAAGACATTACAGAAGGCCACCCCACCAGGACTGGGAGTCGTAGCAGTTCTATCCAATACACAGAAATGAGCACAAACAGCAAAAATGGGGAAACAAACAGGCCCCAAATGAAAGAACAGGAGGACTCTTCAGAAAAGGAGCTAAATAAAATGAAGGCAAAACAACTTATCAGAAACAGACTACAAAGTAATGGTTTTAAGAATCCTCAACAGCATGAAACAGGACATAGAAATCATGAAAAAAACAACACCTCACAACAACAACCACCCAACCAGAAATGAAAAATAACATATCTGAAATAAGGAATACATTGGAAGAAATAAGCAGAGGCTTGAATCAGCGAATTAGAAGACAAGGGGAATAAGTCAATCAGAGCAGCAAATCTAATGATCAAAATAAATTGACTAACAAAATGGAACCAGAGGCATGGATACATGGAAAAGACTGAGAGATCTTAGAAGGGAAAGGGATAGGGAGTTGGAAGAGATTAACCAAAGAATATATACCCATATATGCATAATCCATGGGCACAGCCAATAATGTGGTGAAGACCTGGAATGGGGCAGGGGCTGGGTCCGGGGCTTAGGTGGAGGGGAGAGTGAATGGGGGACATCTATAGTAATGTTAACAATATGTTTTCCTGAATATTTAATACTATTCAAAACTGGAAAATAATAAACACATTTCTAATTTCCTTTCTAATTTTATTTCTTAAAATTAAATATTAGATTTGGGGGGAACAAGTTTGAAAAAGAAAGTACTTAAGTAAAATGTACTGAGTGGCTATTATGGTGCTAAATATTATGCTGGGAACACAACAGTGAATAAAACCCAATAGTGATCTTACACTGTGAAGTATTGTAGAATAAGCAGATAATCATACAAGTAAATGGCAAATTGCAATAGTGATCACACCACATGGAAAGCCACAGAGTGCCGAGAGTTACAAAGATTTCCCTGAGGAAAAGATATCTAAAGGAAAGATGTGAGGGAGCAAAGAGAGTGATGAAAGCAGAAATACAATAATTATAAGTACCAACGCTTTCTGACTAAAGGGTGCAAGGCAGTCTTAAGGACCTGAAAGGGAATGGGAGCAAAAGGGCAAGGGGCAGTTTGGTGGGAAGAAAATGAGAGCAAATATGGAGAAGCCAGGTCTTGTAGTATCGTGTGGGTCATTTTAAAGGTATATGTGTATATGTCTTTATCCTAAAGTTAATACATAGCCATTAAGGAGTTTTGCTGTGTTAACTGCTTAGATTATAAGATCAATGTGCAAAGGATTTGGCATCGTTTCAGACACATAGTAATAGATCAGTAAACATTGATTCCCTCCCAGACACTCTGTAAAATTTACCTTTTAACTCAGTAGTGTATTTAATCAATTAACACAGTATCTTCATAAAATGAATTAATATTATTTCACTTTGGTTTATTATCAACTTTCTCCCAAGTTAATGTAATAAAGTAGAATTCCAAGTGTATTGGAAATTTAAAGTTATTTATTAAATCATAATGTGATCTTACATAGTACTAAAAATGAAGTATAATTAAGTCAGCCTCTATATCTATATTTTGATTTTACTTAGGCTTTAATACTAAATATTTTATAAAATATATTAAAATTAATATGAAACAAGTAAAATAATACAAAGTTAAAGTTGTAAATGGCATAATTTAAGGGATCCTAAGCTCAGTATTATAAATTTACTTAGCAAGGTAAAATATTCCTTCAAAGAAGGCGAAAAAGCTTACCTAGAAACTAGTTTTTAGAATATCAACTATCTAACCACATCACAGTCTCTGTGTCCCTTACTACAAATTCTGGCTTCTCAAATTCCTTGTATTTTTTTCCAGTGTTTCTGCCGCAACCTATTAAGACAATTCACAAACGATGAAATGTTTTACCTAAAATATTTCAGCAACGCATCTTAAAGTGTACATGTGCATAGACTGAAAGAAGCTCATCTTACTGAGTAAAAAGTAGTTAAGAATCTTGGGTTGTCAATTACCAGATGGGCATGACCTCAGGGAACCATATCCTCCCCAGGTGTTTGGAGACTTCCGTGTGGATTTCATCAAGGCCATAGTTGCCATCAGGGATCAAAACCTCCTCCATTATCGACAGCTGGGTCAGCCTTCGCCCACACTGTCTTACACACTCAACGAGGGCGCTGCAGCTAACTTCACATTCACTGAGGCCCAAGGCTGTTAAGTTTTTACAGTGTTTAGCAATACAAATAAGTTCATCGTCAAGAGTCTGAAGACCATTGGCACACACCACTAACTCAACGAGTCGTGGGCAGTTAAGGCCGACCCGTCCTAGAACTGCTTTGCTTACTGAACGACCAAAATAAAGGTGAGTAACAGGGGTTTCTTCTTTGAAGAATGTCTCAAATTCCTCTTCGTATAAAAAGAAGTACATAACAATATTAACTCCAGGGGAGTGTTTAATAAGTGCATCCCAACTTTGTTTTTTAATAGAATAAAATTCAATCTGTCCAGGATTTTCACTCACAACATCAATGCGAAGATGCTCAAGGTTAACATGAGTCTCACTTGAAAGTGCCAGGAGAAGTTCATCGCTTAGCATGTAATAATTCAATGCCAGTTCTTTAAGGCCTTGACAGTGATCAGCTACACAAAGGATTCCTGTGGGAAATGGGGAAAAATCTTAAGAACGAAGATAAAAAAAAAGAAAAAAAGAAAACAGATCATACTAACATTTTTGTCAATTTAATTTATTATTAGTCATTATTTACTAAAATAGCCAAGATATACTTAATTATATATATGCAATACACACTGAGTGGCCAGATTATTATGATCTCTGAACATATAATAATTTGGCCAATTAGTGTATATCCTATATAATAAAAGGCTAATATGCAAATTGTCCCCTCGACCAGGGTTTGACCAGCAGGCAGGCTGGCCAACTGCCCACGTCCCCTCCCCCTGGCCAGGCCTGCCAAACCCCACCCATGCACAAATTCATGCACTGGGCCTCTAATACACACACACACACACACACACGCACAGTGGACAGATTATAATGCATTCAGAGATCATAACAATCTGACCACTCAGTGTATAACTATAACTCTTAGCAGAAGCAATTGAAGCTATCTCTAGCTTATAGATTAAGATTCTCTTGAAAAAAGTTTAATAAATTATGTTTCAAAAGCATGTGGTCTTCAATAAGAAATTGCATTGTTACTATTACTATAATAAAAAAAATCATGCAAGCTTAAAAAAAATATAACCCACCATCAGATGAAACATGAGGACAGCTACTCATTTTTAGGAGTCTTAAAGTATCACTGTTATTGGCCACAAGAATCTTCAGTGAGGGGTCATCCACTGGTGTGCCTTCGATTTTGATTGATGACAATGATTTTGAGTTGACAAAAACAACTGTAAGTGCTGACACAAAATGAGACTTGCACAGCAATAAGAAAAAAATTATGAGAACATTATTTTAAGATCTACGGCTTCAATCAAATAATTCATTAAAACTATTACATCAACATACGCTAATAATAGTATAATAAAATCCATCAACATGTTACTGTTTGTCATAACATTAGACAATAAAAGACATTTTTATAACAAAGTGTAGTTTTTAAAATATTTTTATAATTCACTAGAGGCCCAGTGCACGAAATTTGTGCATTGGTGGAGTCTGGAGTGGATAGAGTGTCCCTCAGCCCAATCTGTACCCTTTCCAATCTGGGAACCCTCGAGGAATGTCCGACGGCCCGTTTAGGCCCAACCCTACCATTTTTTAGACCAGGATCAGGCCTAAACGGGCAGTCGGACATCCCTCTCACAATCCAGGACTGCTGGCTCCCAACTTCTTGCCTGCCTGCCTGCCTTCCTGATTTCCCCTAAGTGCTTCTGCCTGCCAGACTGATCAACCCCTAACCACTCCCTGCCAACCTGATTGACCCTAACTGCCCTCCCCTGCCAGCCTCATCGCTTCTAACTGCTTTCCCCTGCTTGTCTGGTCACCCCAGCCAACTGCCCTCCTCTGCATACTGGTCCCCCACATTGCCCTCCCCTGTAGGCCTGGTCCCCCCCAACTGCTCTTCCCTGCAGGCCTGATCATTCCCAACTTCCCTCCCTTGCAGGTCTGGTTACCCCCAACTTCCCTCTCCTGAAGGCCTGGGCCTCCTCCCCACACCCCCAACTGCCCTTCCATGCAGGCTCTGTTGACCCCAACTTCCCTCCTCTGTCAGCCTGGTCATCCCTAACTGCCCTCCCCTACTGGCCTGATTGCCCACAACTGCCCTCCCTTGCAGGCCTGGTCCCTCCCAACTGCCCTCCCTTGCTGGCCATCTTGTGGCAGCCATCTTGTGTGTTGGAGTGACAGTCAATCTGCATATTACTCTTTTATTAGATATTATAGAGGCCTGGTGCACGGGTTGGGGCCAGCTGGCTTACCTGAAGGGTGTCCTGGATTAGGGTGGGGGTTCCCTTGGGACGTGGGGTGGCCTGGGTGAGGGGCCTGTGGTGGTTTACAGGCCAGCTATGCCCTCCAGCGACCCAAGCATAAGTGAGGGCCGGCTGAAAGCAGGTATCTGGAATTTATTTATCTTCTGTAATTCAAATTTTGTAGTCTTGAGTGGAGGCCAGGGAAGGCCAGGGCAGGCAGAAAGCTTGGCTTCCTCTATCACTGGGGATAACTCAAGCCTCTGGCTGATTCCAGCTCTGGATGCCATCATCTTGGTTGGGATTTACTTATTTTCTATAATTGAAATTTTATAGCCTTGAGCGGAGGTCAGGGCCAGCCAGGAAGCTTGGCTTCCTTCATCACCAGGGGCAATCCAAGCCTCCTGCTCACTCCAGTTCCATGGTGGCCGCCATCTTATTTGGGTTAATTTGCATACTCTTTCTGATTGGCTAGTGGGCTTAGAGGAGTGATGGTCAAGTTGCATGTCTCTCTTTTATTAGTGTAGATCAGTATTCCCCAAAGTGTGATACGTGTACCCTCAGGGGTACGGGAAGAGTTTGGTGAGGGTACACATTATACCAGAGTTTGGTGGGGATATACACTGCACCATGCTTAGCTACGCCTAATACATCCATTTTTATTTTATTTTTTGACGAGGGATACTCAGCGTTACGAAAATTATAGAAGGGGTACACATATGTCAAAAGTTTGGGAAACACTGGTGTAAATAAATGGAACGGTGAGAAAGGAAGAAGTTTCAAAGATTTCATAAATATGTCTTTCAATTATTTCAATCTTAAGGACTAGTTTTCAATATTAAAAGGATATAATTATGTATATTATAGTCTGCCAGCCAAATCTAGTCCACAGTCTGTTATTGAATAGCTCATGAGTTAAGAATGGTTTTTACATTTTTAAATAATTGAAAAAAAATGTTCTGAAGGCTATTTCATGACATGTGAAAATTATAGAAACTCTTTCAGTGTCCATAACTAGCTACTGTAACACAGCTATGCTGTTTTAAGTATGTATTGTGTTTGTTGGCTTTCACACTATGCTAGATAAGAGTTGATAGCACTGCAGCAGTAGGGTTGTAGCAAAACTGTGTGAGCCTAAGGTATTTACTATCTGTAACTGTTCAACCCTTGCCCTAGAAGAAATATAATTATCTGGTTTATTCACTCCTATATATCCTGAACCTAAAGTAGTACCTGGCATATAGTAGAAGGTCAACAAATATTTGTTGATGAATAAATCAATAAATTATGCCATTCTTTAGGGACATGTTTTTTGCTGGCCAATTAAAAATATGTTTTAAAACTTTCTGTTTTGAATATTGACAAACTCAAGCTTATTTATTGCTTGAGCTCAAAATGCATGGAGTTTCACAAGTTTTCAGATCTAGTATTTTTGGACATGGGTAGAAAGTCTGGAAACCATATCTAGACATGATCATTTTTTTCTTTTTCAAAATCTATTTGGATTTACCAAAGGTTCTATTGTCCTTTTAGAATGATCAAATTGGTTGCAAATCATAATTTATTTATAAGAAAACTTATTGACTTACATTAATTGTTAAGTGATGTACACATTTTTAAACAGTGGATGACTAGACGTCTTTGTGAAATTTGATGATGCCAAAAATTGTTAGAGAAACCTAAGTACATCACTCCTTTTTGTTAAGAAATAAAAGGACTCCCACACACTTTAATCAACTCTCAGTGGACTCTGGAAGTCCTGAAGGACACAGTTAAGCATTAGAGTACAGGTTTCCCCTGTTTTCAAAAGTTTGCTTTCCACCACTTCACTTTTACAAAAGACCTACGTTAGTGCTGTTTTCACGAACTGAAAGAAATCCAGAGTATTTCACTTACGTGAAAGGCAACAAGGAAAAGTAATGTTCAGCATCTGTTGGGCAGCGAGTCGTAGAGTCAGCGTGCACCTGCCAAGCTCCTTCTCCAGGAGCCACACAGCCTGTCAGCTAAGCTGCCACAGCTTTGACCTGCGTCATTTTAATGTGTTTTTGCGCATTTGTTAGTAAGATGCGACCTGAGGTAATAGCTTCTTCACTTTATGACATTTTGGCTTAAAAAAGATGTTATAGGCAAGCTCTGCTTTTGGATAGCAGGGGAAACCTGTCCAAATGTTATTACAGCAACAATATATTCTTTTAGCCCTTCTTATGCCTAGCAAAATGCTATATTTTATCTTATTTTCCCTTAGTTTACAAAAGAAAAACGGAGGCTTAGAGAGTTGCACAACAGCCCGAGGAGCCACAGAGCTCATTTTACTGCAGAGGCAGAGGTTGACATGAAGCCCGCTCACAGCCGAGGCCTCTCTCCGGTGTCAGCATCAGCTTACCTAGAAGTGGGCTCTTGATGCTGATAAGTGTAACATGAGAGACAGCTTAGAATGTAAGAATTTTAGGCTCCTCTGATCCATAGTTTATAAACAAGAAAATAACTATTTAGAAGTAGTACATTTTCATCTGATTAATTATATTACTCTAATCCCCAAATGACCCATTTCCCCCCCAGGACATCTCTTAAAAAGATAAACAAGCTAGCAGAAATGCCTGCTAAGAGAGCCATGACCTAGTTTATGAGGAAGAAGATGTTACTATTCTTCTACCCTCTTCTGTAGAAAAGTCTCCGTTAGCCAGTTTTACTGACAATCATTATTTATTTATTTATATTTTTATTGATTTTTTACAGAGAGGAAAAGAGAGGGATAGACAGTTAGAAACATAAATGAGAGAGAATCATCAATCAGCTGCCTCTTGCACACCCCCTACTGGGGATGTGCCTGCAACCAAGGTACATGTGCCCTTGACCTGAATTGAACCTGGGACCTTTCAGTCCGCAGGCCGATGCTCTATCCATTGAGCTAAACCGGTTTCGGCTGACAACCATAAGTTAGTGCTCATTATGTATCAGGCACTATCCTAAGTCTGGGTTTATAATGGTAAACAAACAAATTAGAATCTCTGCCTTCAAAAGTGTATGATTTTAGACTGGGAGAAGAGAAAAAATATGTTAAATAAGTACGGTGTTTTCAAGTACTGACAAATGATACAAAAACACTAAAATGTTGTAATAGAGAATAGCTGGAGGAGTGGGTTTGTTTTAGCAAGTGGTCTCGAGGCAGGCCTCTCTGAGGAGGTGGCATTCAAGCTGAAGCCTGGATGGAGAGAAGACAGACCCTGGTCTTTGTGGCAGAGATTGCTGGTGGCTTCTAACAACCATTCAGCCTTTCTTCTTTGGTAATCTAGTCCCAATGTTTAGCTGGACACATTGCCACCGAGCTAAAAGACTCTCCCAGCCTCCCAGAAATCTGGTGTGGCCGGCCACTGGGCTAAATCCTGGCCTAGGAGACAAACAGAAGCATCACGTGGTATATGCCTAGTCTCCCTGGAAAGGAGAGGGCATACCCTTCTTCCCCCTTGCTCCCATCAGCTGTCTAGAATAAGGACATGATGGCTGGGGCTCAGAACGCCGTCTTCGACATTGAAAACGAAGAAGTGCCTTGGAGAGAAGGAGCGCCTGGGTTCCGAACAGCTTAACACCAGCTGTGGACTGTCTCACCCAGGGATTTCTTTAACGTACGAGAAATAAACTTCAGTCACGTGTTTTAAGCCGCGGTTGTTCTGGAATGTCTACTACACAGACTCAAAAGTCATCCTAATAAATATAGTTTATTTAGTCAGATATTATATTGTCCCACCTCCAAAGAGAGATTCTAGAGTGACAGGGAAGATACCCACTTACTGGCCTTATATGCCCCATATTCAAAGAAGTAAGCAAGCACTGGAAAAATCCTATCATTAATTTCATATTAATAATATTTACTGGGGAAACAATGACTAAAATATACCTAAAATATACCTACATGAAACCATGAATAAGCTATTTCAGCAAAGAACAAGTGCTAGTCAACAGAAAATGGCTTTAAATAATTCTTTGAATAGAAGCAGAATATTGTCTGTTTTTAGGAAAAGAATCCTTTCTGCCAGTTTGACAAGAATTTTAGTAGAGCCTACAAAAAAAGTATAGCATCTTTACCTTTGACATATTCATAAAACTTGGCTTGGCTGTTGAAATCAAGCCCAAGGTCTGGATAGAACAATTTACCAGCTGAGACAGTATATCACAGGCAGCTTCTGCTGATTCAGTACTACTGTCAACCTACAAAGACAACGGTAATCTTAATCTCATGAAGGTCAAATGAATTAGAAAGTGACAGACAAATAGTTATTTAATAGGACTCATTTGCAAAACTGTATTTAGCCTTCAAGCTATAAAGTAAATTAGTATTTTTTTCTTAATACAAAATGTCTCATATAAAAAAGTAAGAAATAGAGATTATGGAAAATTAACTTTCTAAGCACTTCACACTTTCAAAACTTATACAATCACCTGAATTTGAATTTTAATGCCCAGGTGAAGGAAACTCAAATTTAAGTTATTCAATTATAGCTCAAGTTCTACATCTCACTCTCTGCAAATAACCATAGAAAAACAGGAATAAGTTGAGATAAAATTCTGCAAAATTCACTCACTGCTTAACATAAGAATCTAGGTATTAAAAATATTGGTAAAATATGTCCTGGTTTCAATGTAAAGCTTATTTTTCTTACCTTAAAGCTCACATACTGGAGATGGGTAGCATGCTTTTTAATAATCTGCTGAATGAGATCAGGATGAGTGGACTTAAAATACGAAGTAGCTGGCTGAGTCAGTTCAAATTCAAACTTTCTCCAAAGGTCAGGAATATGAAAAACTTCATTCCATCTCCTACAGACAGAAGATGCCCGGGCCCGATCTATTAAAGGAAGATACTGAAAAATGTGTAATACCACATGATGAGGCAAACTCCCCCAGTCTGCAAGAGCCGTGTACATATGAGTCTGGCTGAGAGAAGAGTAGAATCCAAGTTTTGACTGTTTCATTACTGGTGACGACTGGATAATTTTATTCACGACAGATAAATTGCTCCTCTTCATTCTGTAAACATTAAAAAGCATTACGTGGTCATTTTTCCACACTCTGATTATATGTTTGTGTTCTAATTGCATAGAATAACGGTTTAAAACAGTGAAAAAACAGTTTAAGACTATTTTAAAAGTAATCTTCCATTTTCATGCATTGGTAAGTACCGCTCTATGCTGGGGGTTCAGAGATCAATAAGAGAGAAGCTGTTCTCAAAGAGCTGTGGCCAAATGGCAAAATGCTGTGACAAATGCTATCACTGAAAGTGGAGCAAGTAGCAAGGCAAGGAAGCTATATATTATAGTTGAGTTTGTATGTGGGAGGGGGTCGCTGGGGAGGCTCCAGAGAGGAAATGTTCAAGAAAACTGTGTAAGTCCCTTATTATCTGTGTAAGTGTTCTTATTATCTCCAACACAGAAGGAAGCATCACATCACAATTATGCTAAAAACTCCTGGGGACACTAGGGAATAGTAAAACACAATTAAAAGCATAGAAGATGAGCCCCAGATCTGCCACTTACTAATCATGTGACCTCGTCTGAGAAAATTAACTTCAGCCTCAGTCTCCTCATTTGAAAAGCAGGGAGAACAACAGTACCAACGTGGAAGGTTGTGAGAATTAGAGCATATTAAGTGCCAACACATAGTAAGTGCTCAGTAAATGTTGCAGTTGTTGTTACAATATTTTAAATTGTCCAATGCATTCTTCTGAACCAATTTCATTAAGTTGAAGCACAATTCTAATAAAAAGTCAAATGATCTGTTACAATTTTCCAATGATACCCAGGACACAAGAGCTCTGGAGAAACTGGCCACGGCAGGGACAACGTCTGTGTAAGCAACACACCTGACTGTTGTGTTGTTTACACAGACTTTAGCAAAGGAAAGAGCATTCTTCTCCAACAGAAAGAAATGATAAACCTCCAGCTATTAGCTTGAAATACAACTAAGTTGCAACAAATTTCAGGTCCAGATATACCCAAGTACATTGGGTTATCTTGTACATATTCTTACATAAAAATCCAAAGTATTTTACATATACAATTATTTGAGAGGCAAAATAATGGTCAGAGTAATTTTGAACATTAACTTTGGTCGACTATTCAATCCTCTTTTCACCCTTGATTGCCATAAATGTATATGTGGAAGATTCAGTGTCATAATTAAAACATACCTTTAAATCTAATGAAATAGTTATTTGATATGTAAATATCTCTGTCTTGTGAGTCACTCTGTCTGATATGAAACATTTCTTAATCACAACATAGAGTTGGATCCCACAAGCAGGACTGACCTAGTCACTGGACAAAATGAAAGGTCATCTTTCGGGTTTGGGAAACTGAAATGGAAAGCAAAAATAGTTGCAAAGCTATGTGTCTTAATCATCAGGCAAAAGTGCTACCACATACATTTTAATCTGACTAAAATCACATGCATGATGGAGAACTGGTCCAACAATACAATGCAGAATATATGAAACTGCTGACATCAATAATTCAAAGCATATGCTATTTGAAAGGGCTGATCTATTCTTTAATGCTAATTTTCTAAAATAAAATATGATTGCCCAGGGAAGGTAAAGGAACCAACACTGGATTCTACTAGGTGTACCGGTTAATAATGGTGGATTTTGTAATAAAAGAAAATAAGATAATTTCAAGAGAATCATCAAAAGTTCTTTATTCAAAGTAATGTCCATCACTAGCTATGCATTTCCCCATCTTTCAGGTAATTTGTGGATACATTCCTATAGAACTTTTCTTGTTCTGAGGCAAACCATTCAGGGACCCAATTTTCCACTTCCTTGTACGTTTTGAAGTGCTGCTCAGAAAGTGCGTGTGCCATCGATTGGATTAAGTGGTAATCTGAAGGAGCAAGGTCTGGTGAATAGAGTAGTTGGGTTAATACTTCCCAGGCAAGATCTTTTAACTTGTCTTTAACTGGTTTTGAAGTGTGTGATAGTGCATTATCATGAAGCAAAATTTCTTGGCCGTGTCTTCCGGCACATTCTGGTCATTTCACAATCAAAGCATGGTTGAAATTGATTATTTGTTGTTGATAGTGATCAGTATTAACAGTTTCACTTGGTTTTAGCAGCTCATAATACACCACACTTTCCTGATCCCACCAAATGCAGAGCATTGTCTTCTTTCTGAAGCAATTTGGCCTTGCAGTCGATGTTGATGGTTGACCTGGATCAACCCATGATTTTGTGCATTTGGGATTCTCAAAATAAATCCACTTTGCATTGCCAGTCACAATTCGATGCAAAAAAGACTTTCGTGCCATTGAAGCAACATTTACTGATGACTTTTTAGGTTTCCATTTGTTTTTCATTCAGTTGATGTGGCACCCATTTTCCTTCCTTTAAAATCTTTCTCATTGCTTGTAAATGATTGGATATTGTTTGCTGAGCAACGTTTAATCTTTCTGGAAGTTGTTTTTGAGTTTGACACACATCTTCATCCAATAATGGTTGTAATTGTTGGTCTTCAAACTTTTGGGGTTGACCTGGACATTCTTTGTCTTTCACATCGAAATCATCCCTTTTAAAGCGTTTAAACCAGCGCTCACAAGTATCTTGAGATGGAGCATGCTCACCATAAGCTTCCTAAAGTATATGATAACATTTTCTTCAAAATAAGGTAATGAATTAAAACTTCCTGCAAATACTCTTCTTTTTTTTGCATGAAATTCAACATTTTTACATGTAAAAATACCTACAATGTTAGCACCTTCAGCAAATTTGACATATGAAGTTTTGAAGCTTGCTATCAATACAACAAAATAGCATACATATCAAATTGCATATATATCAACATGTGTGTAACTCTGTATATTGAAAAAATTTGCATTATTAACTGGTACACATAGTAAACCTAATGTAGAGCACATTTATTGACATTTTGCTTGTGAATCTTTTATTTGGTAGCCTATAAAATAAAATTTCACTAAGATATTACCAAAAAACTCATCTTTAATACATTTCCTCACTAGCAAAGCAATGAAGCAAAAAAATAAAACAGAGACTTTTTAAAAATGCCAGGTTAAAAAAATCACCTTGCAATTCTAGACAAAGCAATAGTGCTATATATTAAACCTGACCATGTATAATATGAATTGATTATTAAAATTGCTTATTTAGTGAAATCATTAAATAGCCAATTCACTGATAGAATCACCATAACTAAGGGATATTATATACCAACTAGAGGCCAGTGCATGAAATTTGTGCATTTGGGGGGGGGGGGGTAATGGTCCCTCAGCCCAGCCTACACCCTCTCCAATCTAGGACCCTTTGAGAGATGTCCAACTGCCCATCCCTCTTGCAATCTAGGACTGCTGGCTCCCAACCGCTCACCTGCCTGCCTGCTTGATTGCCCCTAACTACTCTCACCTGCCAGCTTGGTCACCCTAACTGCCCTCCCCTGCCAGCCTGGTCATCCCTAACTGTCCTCCCCTACAAACCTGATCACTCCCAACTGCCCTCCCCTGCTGGTGCGATAACCCCTAACTGCCCTCCCCTGCTGGCCTGGTTGACCCCAACTGTTCTCCTCTGCAGACCTAGTTGACCCTAACTGTTTTCCCCTGAAGGCCTGGTCACCCTTAATTGCCCTCCCCTGCTGGCCTGGTCCCCCCCAACTGCCCTCCCCTGCTGGCCTGGTCCTCCCCAACTGCCCTCCCTTGCTGGCCTGATCACCCACAACTGCCCTCCCCTGCAGGCCTGGGTCCCCCCTCAACTGTCCTCCCTTGCAAGCCTGGTCTCCTCCAAATGCCCTCCTCTGCTGGCCATCTTGTGGCGACCATCTTGTGTCTACATGGGGGCAGCCATCTTGTGTGTTGGAGTGATGGTCAATTTGCATATTACTCTTCTATGAAATAGGATAATTCTATTAAAAATAACATTTGAATTTTTTCATGTGTACATTAGTTTTCAGAACATAAAACTCATCCACAAACTATATAAGTCATTAAAATAATTTATAACAATGAGTGTCAGTAAACTACATTTTAGAATGCAAAACAAATTATCTTTCTTAGCTTGGAAATGATATATAAATTGCAGCCTACACATATATGACCATTTTTAGAAATCAATCATTTATTTCTCAAATGATCAATTTTCTTACCTAAAGGAGGCTTGCAGGTTACAGTTCACTTGGGATAAATGAAATGAAGTAACTGCTCCCATGGGGTACTCACCAACATCCATTTGATTTCACTTCCTAAGTTGGCAAAATACCATAAAAACACATTCATCAGAATGTATAAGAAGAAATCCAATAATTTTGATGCTTAGGATATTTATACTATATATCATTGTATATATTGCATGTTTTTGTTAGAAAATTGTTGATTATAAACTATTTTCTTTTTCTACTCAGAAGGAAGCCTGTCTATTAAAAAAATCAAAAACAAAAAACAAAAACTACTAGCCTGCTTAGTGGAAATACTGCAACACTTGCCAGGAATTACACTTGAAGCTCTACTAAAATAGAAGGTAGATTAAACAGTAAGATGGCTTTGAAATTCACATTTTAATAGATAAGTATGGAGAGATACTTCAAAAAATTTAAGTAGTCCATAATTAGTTAATAACCTACATAAATTGTTCAGTTCTGGTTTTAGCAGCAATTATTACCACTACAAATGTAATAATTAAGGAGATATAACTTTTATTACTTACTATTCCCATATAAATATAATTTGACTAGTTTGCTATTAACATACGCTTCTGTGATTTTTAAATTTTCCACTTATACTGAAAGATACAATTGATTCATTTTAAAAAATATATATTTTATTGACTTTACACAGAGAGGAATTGAGAGGGATAGAGAGTTAGAAACGTCGATGAGAGAAATACATCAACCAGCTGCCTCTTGCACACCCTCCACTGGGGATGTGCCCACAACCAAGGTACGTGTCCTTGACCGGAATCGAACCCGGGACCTTTCAGTCTGCAGGCCAACGCTCTATCCACTGAGCCAAACCGGTTTTGGCCAATTGATTCATTTTTAATTGATTTATTCATATTCTTTTTGAGGTTTGGCCAATTGTAGGCACAGCGACTTGTTAGAGTTAGGAGCGATTTATGGATATGGAAGAAAATAATAACTGTTCTATATCATGATAAAACTCACTGCCTTGGCATCATGAATAAATGTCATAAAGTAAAAAAAAAAAAATGCATCTTATTACTTTTGTGAGCCAAATTAAACTACAAGGGAGATGGAGGAAACAACCTAATATGGAACTAAAAACTTATCTTCAATCTCTGTTGTCTACTACCAGCCAGCTCTCAGCCTCTCTCTGAATCCCACTCCTAAAATAGAGCTTTGGAGGACAGGTAGGGAGAATGTATTAGACACCAGGATCCACAATTTGATTTCCCTCACTACCATCTGTTCTACTATTATCTAATCATTATTTTCCAGACAATAGGAAGGTAGGCTCTCTCTCCTTTACATTCCAACCCAGAAACAGGAAGACAGGAGCTATCAGGCTCACATCTAAAGGAACATCACAAGTAAGAGAAAGACAAATTGATTGAATTCCCCTAAGAAGCAGATGACACAATTTTATTTACTGCAGAAAAATTTCTATTGAGTTATCAAGCTGGCTACTTTTGTGTTTTCAGGCCATTCTTTATGCTAGAAAATAATAAAGTAATCTGGTTACGGTATATAAATAGGAAATAACTACCTAAGACCCATAAGAAGGCGGCATGCAAGTACCTATCTCAAATCAGTTCACTGGAGTTTTCAGCATCAGATGAGCTATGTACCTGGTTGCTGAAGGAACTCGATTGCAGCTTCAGAGTCACTATCGGGACCTGGGAGGCTGGTAGAAGACAAAACCAGAATACAGGATCCCATCAAGTGATAAGCCATACTTCCAAAAAGGGAGAGATGAGCAAGCTTGATCTTTAGCACAATTCTGGAGTACAAAACAGGTTTATTAGCATTGGGGAGAGTGTAATGATAACTCAAAGTCCATTTAAGAGGCTTCAGTAACCACCCTAACCCAATTTTCTTTTTTGATATGTTTACTAATTTGGTGGATCAGGTGGCCACGTAACTCAGATCCTCTAAAAGAAAGAAGTCTCCCACACTATATGTGTATGTATGTAGACAGATATAGACGTAAATGTAGATACATAAATATCAGAGAGGAGAGAGGAAAAGAGGAGATGGAGAAGGGGAGAGAGGGAGAGGAGGAGAGGGAGAAAGGAGGAGGAAGGGAGAAAGAAGGAGGAAGGGAGGGAGGGAGGGAGAAAGGGAGGAAGGGAGGGAAGGAAACATCAATGATGAGAATCACTGATTGCCTCCTGCGTACCCTTACTGGGGATCAAGCCTGCAACCCAGAAATGTGCCCTGATGGGGAATGGAACCGTGACCTCCTGGTTCATAGGTCGACGCTCAACCACTGAGCCACATTGGCTGGGCTCCCACAGTATTCTTGAGGGGAAGATAGTCAAAGACATTAGAACACTAAAAACACTCAAAGCCAAGCTAGTGTCAGCAATGGAAGCAACTATCTTCTGTACCTCCCAGGTTTTTCCAAACTGGTTAAATGCATACCCAGAAAGGACTTTTAGGTTCCAAGTTTTCAATTATCACAACACTAGAAATGCTGTATAAATACTACAGATAATAAAGATTCAAAATTACCTAAAAGGCTAGACCAATCTGTTAGAAGCAGCAAGATGAAGTTGAAGAGGAATTAGCAAATGTCCTTTCAGTTACTTTCTAAAGTGGCACTCTGTGAAGTCAGATTGCTGTCACCACAGGATGATGGTCTCTGCAACGGAGTCTGAGATCCCAGTTATTGGTACAATGACAAGGGAGATGTGGCCTGGACAGGAAAGCTGAAAATTTTTTCCAAAATACAGCTCTAAAATGCACAGCTTTCTCAAACACCTCCTCCCACCAAATAGAACCCAAGCAGAGAGCAAAACTCAATTTTTTAGGAATGTTGTCAAAATGTTTACTTTCTTGGCAGCCCACATCACCTCAAGTTCCCTTCTAAATCTAAAATCTATGTGATAAAAAAAGGTCCCAGTCAAATGATAGTATCATCAAGATTTCTACAAGACAAAGGATAGGTATTTGTGTCAAATAAATCTTTCCTAAAGCAGTGATTGCCAGCTATTTGGTGTTTTCACTTTTTATCAGTGATTTGGCAATTTTCTATACTCTCAAAAGTCTCTGTGATATAAAGATATTTTTATTTTTAAAAACCTTGAATCTTAGGTATGTTTGCTTTCATGTGAAAAGCTGAAGTTTTGAAAATATATGTTAATTCAAAACACCTTGTGAGATGCAGAGAACAGTTATGCAGAAAGTGAATTGGGCAACGTGTTAAAAATCCCTGCATGGCAGCTGTTTCCACTGTCTCCGGCCTCTGGAGGGGAAACGGGAGTGGATGCCCAGGCTCTGGACCAGGAAGCCCTGTAAATGGGGAGTCCCCACTTAGAGAAGGGTAGACTAGGGGACCTGACAATTAGCGCAAACGATTCAGGAAAGCATTTGGCAACGTTTGTCTGAAAGAAAATAATCCTAATTCAGTCTACTTCATATTTTGGAGAACATTTCTGGACACACGTGTCAAAGACAAAAACAAGTACATCTTAAAGGGTATAGACTCTTCCAACTCCTAGGCCAGCCACCATATAGGTGTAGTTACTGTATAGCTGTCAGTCTGTGACAGAGGGAAAGAGACAGCGGGACATATGCATTTCTCTGTGGCGAGTATAAACTCTCTTACAGGATCGATCGTCCTGCAAACTTGAGCACTTGGAAAGGTCGAGTTAAAGCCCCCGCGAGTCTCCGTTATCCCTCATCCAGGAACGACACAGGCTCCCAACATCAACAGATGCACGTCTGGGAGAGGGGTTAGGGTGCAGACAATCCTTTCGGAGCTTACCCTCCAAAGATGAGCAAAATGACCGAATCCAGGGACCGCGGGGTCCCGTGCTCGCCCTGCAGAGAAAAACCACCCTGAGGAAACAAGAACAGAATTGAGGCTGTAAAAGGCCGCCGGACCTCAGGGACCTCAGGACCTCAGGGACAGTCTAACGCAGGGGGTGGGGGAACGAGAGTGGGGAGTTTGCAAGGCGACCTTGGTCTCCAGCGGGGAGAGAGTGGGGGAAGGGGGTCGCTCCTCGCGGGTCTCCTCCCTCCTCCCCCTCGGGCAGCTAGGATACCAGGTCACGCCTTCCAGTTCCCCCAGAAAACGCGCGCTGGCCGCGGGCACCTCTGCGTCTTTAAATCCCTGCCGGCCGGAGGCACGACTCGGTTCCGGCCCTGCCCGCAGCTCCCTCGGTCAGCCGGGGCGCATACCTCCAAGTCCACCGCGACCCCAGAGGGAAAGGCTCCCTTCGTACATGTAATCACGTGTTTCTGCTTCGGCCAGAGTTTCAAGGCCGGGCTGCGGCTGCCGAGCGGAGGGCAGCGCTCCACGGCATCCTCCGCCCACGGCCCCGCCCACGGCCCCGCCCCAGCCCGCCACGCATGCGCACAGCTCCATTTTCCGAGAGGGACGGGGCGCCAGGGCGGCCCCTAGTGGTGGATGAGTGGAAGGATTTCTACCTCTTGGTCTTCACCTAATTCCCACAACCTGCGAAGTCGAACAGATGGCCAACTTCGCCAAACGTTCAAGAATTAACCGTTCTGGTTTCTAAAACTTAACCTCCCCAGAAAATGCACCCCTTTATTAATAAGCGCTTTAAAGAAACTTTAAAAAAATATCAAAGACGATAACAGCTCAGCATTAAATATGCATATGTCACCTCCCTGTTCTTTGCCACATGTGCTGCTAGTCTTTACACTCTCCTTTTGAAGAGCACGTGCTCTTCAAGACAAAATTCAGTTTATCAATTTGTTCTTTTATGGGTTCCAATGCCAAATCTAATAAATCTCTGCCTAAGACGTGTTCAGAATGATTTTCTCCAATAGTGTTTATAATTTTAGTTATTATATGTAGGTGTAGATTCATTTAACTTTTGTGTGTGGTTCAAGGCATGATTCAATGTTCACTTTTTTTTTAATCCTCACCGGAGGATATTTTTTCCATTGATTTTTAGAGAGAGTGGAAGAGAGAGGGAAAGACAGAGTGAAATATCAATGTAAGAGAAACACATTAATTTGTTGCCTTCCACACACACCTGGACTGGGTTGGGGGAGGAGCCTGTAACCGAAGTAGGAGGTACCAGCCCTTGACACACACACACACACACACACACACACACACACACACCCTTCACCCACTCTTTGGTCAGCAGGCCTGATGCTCTATCCACTGAGCCAAACCAGCTAGGGCAAATGTCACTTTTTTACTCTTTGCTCAACAGACGGTGTCTTCCTGTGCAGTGCCAGCTGCAACCCTGAGATACAATGGTGAAGGTTAGAGTGAACAGATTTGGCTATATTGGGCACCTGGACACTAGGGCTGCTTTTAACTCCAGCAAAGTGGGTGTTGTCACCATTAATAACCCATTCATTGACATCAATTACATGGCCTACATGCTCCAGCGTAATTCTACTAATGGCAAGTTCAAAGGCACAGTCCAGGCTGAGAACTAAAAATCTATTTCCATATTCCAGGAGAGAGATCACCCCAACATTAAATGGGATAAAACTAGTGCTGAATATATTGTGGAGTCCACTGCTGGTATCTTCACTGCCTTAGAGAAGGCTGGGGGTCACTTGGAGAGTGGAGCCAAGAATGGGCAGAGATGATACCCTTTGTGGTCCACATAACTTCCAAGGAGATGATACCCCAGTGTTTATGATGGGTTTGAACCATGACATATATGGCAACCCCTTCAAGATTATCAGCAATGCCACCAACTGTTTGGACCTCCTGGCCAAGGTCATCCATGACAACATTGGCATCATGACCACAGTCCATTCTATCACTGACATCCAGAAGACCATAGATGGTCCTTCTGGGAAATCTGTGGCATGATGTCCAAGGGGCAGCCCAGAAAATCATCCCTGCCTCTACTGGAGCTGCCAAGACTGTCAGCAAGGTCTTCCCTGAGTTGAATGCGAAGCTCACTAGCACGGCCTTCCATATCTCCGCCCCCAGTGTGTTGGTTGTGGATCTAACCTGCTGCCTGGAGAAAGTTGCCAAATATAATGACATCAAGGAAGTAGGACAGATCGAGAGCCCTTTTTAGGGCAACTTAGGCTGTTCTAAGGACTAGGCTGTCTCCTATCAGTGACACCCACTCCTTTATCTGCGATGCTGGGGCTGGCATTGCCCTCAGTTAACCACTTTGTCCAGCTCATTTCCTGGTAATACAATGAATTTGGCTATAACAACAGGGTGGTGGACTTTATGGTCCACATAACTTCCAAGGAGTGAGAGCCCCTGGACCACCAGCCCCAGCAAGAAGAAAAGGGGCTCTCAGATACTGGGGAATCCTGCCCCTAAGTCAATCCCCAAACACACTGAGAATCCCCTGACCTCCAGTTTTCATCCTAGCCCCCCTGAAGAAGAGGAAGGGCTTAGGAAGCCCTGCTTTGTCTTGCACCATCAAGACAAGTTCACTGTACCCACCTAAAATAAGTAAATAAAAAGGAACTACTTGACTTTACTGAAAAATTAAAGCTATGCATTTTAAAATCACAGATGCCAACAAGTGTGTTTCTAAATGTGGAAAAACTTGCTGCTGTTGGCACCATATTCAAACACAGTATGAAGTCCCCCATAAACAGGGGGGATTATGAAATAAGCATTTCTAAATGGGTCAGGGTTAGTCATCACTGACAACATTGATTCAAAGCCATTACCCTGTTTTGAAGAGTGAATGAAGTCAAGGGGATTGCGTAGAGATTTTGTTAACTCTGTGTTCTATCTGATGTAAGACAGCCTTGTCTTGCACAGCCCTGTGGTTCCGAACTTACATTATTTCTTAAAACAGAAAAGAAAAATGATTTTTAATCTGTTGCTTTTCACTTAACGCTTTTCTAGTCAAAGCTTTATAGTGCATTGCCATTAAAATAAAATTTAACATTGAATTGTGTTTTTTAACTTTGTAGATTACCTTGTTTTTAAAAGCTGTAACTCAATTTTACAAATACACTTTGTTTTAAAAGAAAGAAGTTAATTTATTGCCATGTTTAAAGATCTCATAGACATATGTTGTTAATCTAGAGATAGTTTTCGACAGTTGTTTTATTTTTGAAAGGCAAGGCCCTGTGTGGATTGTCAGGACAAGTCTGGGATCATTGAGAAAAACAGGATCAGTCATTTGAAATCATTTAATAAAAGTAGGTTAGTAGGTCAAAGCTGTCCTGATGATCCATCATTTTTAAGGGCATTTCAAAAAGTAGTCATTAGCAAATACAAAAATTTCTTAGTCTTTTGAACAAAAAAGAAAAATGTAACACTGAAATAGTTTCTTTATAAAGAGCAATAAACTCGTTACTAAATTTTGATTTCCTTGTTTATGGAAAGTTTCCCTAAGTTAATTCCAAATCTTTGAAAAATGACATATCTTGAGATTTAAAATTAGGATAGCAGTAGTTTAACTTACTGGACTTAGAAATCCAAAGGGAATTTTTTAAAAAAATAATAATTATTGATCAACTTAAGGAATATGCTGTATTGCCACGAGACCATAAAGTAGAACAATTGTCAGTGGGAATAGGAAAAAAAAAAAAAACTATAATATTTAATGGAAGAAATATTTAAAATGCCACATCATAGCAGGGGTCTGCCAGCAAACACACCAGTCAAATACCCAAACAGAAGTGGGGCAGCTCTTTGTTACAAATTATGAAGGAGACATTGACAAAGCAAGCTCAAAGACATCAGCAAGGCTTGTCAGGCGATGACAATGATAACCAATCCAGGACAAAGAACAGTGCAAAAATACAAACATCCGTGCAACACAGCTAGGTACTCGAGTCAATAATGTTCACTACAGCTCACATCACCACTGAACATACACACACCTGCAGCAAGGTTTGTGGGTGGTAGTGTTAATTACAGTTATGACAAGAGCAGAAGTTAACACAGAGCACAGCATGTCTGGTTTATATAGTAGTTTCCTGTATGGACTCCATGTATGGAGGGAAATTATAAAGCTCAACATTTGAAGAATTCCGTCTTCAAATCTTTCCTGTGAGTCTTATTTGAGCCTCTGAAAAAAATGGATATGCAAAACATTATCCTATATAATAAAAGCCTAATATGCAAGTTGACCGAACGGTAGAACAATCAGTGGAAAGACCCATTGCTATGATGCACTCTGACCACCAAGGGGCAGACGCTCAACACAGGAGCTGCCCCCAGCCTGCAGGTCCCAGGCCAGCCAAGGTGGGTGCCAGTGGGAGGAACCCCCCCCCCCCATCACCCCGTTAGTCACCCCACAGAGGTGTGGAGGAGGATGGCAGGGCTGGCAAGTGGGCAGTGCCAGGCTGGCCAAGGCAGGTGCCAGCAGCCCTCCTCTCCCCAATCACCCACAGATTTGTCCTGCAGGAAGTTTGTATACCAAGCCTCTCGTATACAAATAAAAGTCTAAATAAAACCACTTTCCTGACCACATGGTTATCCATCTCTTGGAGTGGTGTGGGCTCTAAGATGGGCTTTGAGGAAAAGGCCAGACTTTTGAGAATACAGGAAGCTCCAGACTTAGGAGGAGTGATTTTCTTACAGAAGAAGGGAGCAGATCTCGTGTGTGAGAGTTGGAGCTATTTTCTTTTGTGATTTGTAGCTATGTACTTATTCAGTTTGGGTAGTGTCCTCGTAAAAGAGTATATTTTAGATTCCCAAATGAACCGCGTCCAGCACGGCCAGGGGTGAACCTGAAGAGGGGTGGTGAAGGATTAAAGAAGAGACAAGAGGATACAGGCGGGTTCCCTTGGGCCTGGATGAGGACACAGTGACACCGCCTGTAAGCCGAAGCTTTATAGTCAGAGACACAAAGCAAACAAGGGGACTAGTCAACATGTTTACAATGTTCTTGTGAGTTTCACCTTGTTTTGGCAGCACTTGCTGCACCTCCCACAGCCCATTAGCTACCTAGAAACTAGGGAGGGCTGTAAGGTCAAGCTTACTTATGCCAGGAAGGCTCTCCCCTCAAAGCTGGGACTTGTCTGTGGCCCTGTCACAGGTCAGTCTGAGGCTTGCTTGACCCAATAGCCACGCCCTACACCCAAATCCTTGTTGACCATTTTGCTCTTATATTATTATTTTTTTTTTTTTTTAAAAGAGGTTTGCTTTTCAGAGAACACTTTGTTACTCATTTTTCTTTATCTACATCGATCAAACCTTCTTACCTTTAGGAAACTTTTCAAATCTCTGAAAGGAAATCACGACACCATCCACTATTGAATGAAGTGTGTTTCATTAAAAGCAAATTGCTGTTGAGTCATATCCTGAAAGTGAGTGGTTACTTTTAGCAGAATAATTGCACAGGTGCTTCAAAAGGGAACCCAGGCAAACTCGTTATGCTGACA